TCCTTAGTCAAGTAAATATTGTTTTCGTTGCTTTTTGAAAAGTGTCAAGAGTTATTTCTATACATCATTCTATTTATAATTTTTTATCACAGCACCACGCTCTTTCGTTTAATGAATGCAGTTTATGTAGCAATCTTTCCTCGAGCTTCTTTCAGTGTCTTTGTGAAGGGAAGTACATTGGGTCCGACAGCTTGCGCCTGTAAGTTGATTAGTTCATTTCAAGGAAAATACCCTCCCCTTCAAAAAGCGAGAAAGTGTCGGGTGCAGACCATGCACCACAAGTGACGACGGCCTTCACAAAATGTTAATGTTTTCTGCCAATGAAATGATTAGCCTGTTGCAGTTGTATTCTATCGATTGTCACTAATTACAACTATCATTTACCAGAAATCAGCTATCACTATGAACAACTTCTAACCAGATTTACTTGGAGGCCGTCGTCAGTTGTGGTGTTTGGTCTGCACCCGACACTTTCTCGCTTTTTGAAAGGGAGGTTAGCTCTAGATTGAGATCATGTTGGCGATCAGTCAAAACATATAAATTTGAATGCTGAACAAAAAGCGAGTTTTTCAGCAATAAAGTTGTAATAATTATGTAGATCATTTGCCGATTATAAAATGTTTGCAAACATAGTAGCTTATCAAACTTTCCAAATGGGAGGGTCAAGAAAGTAGGATGCCTGATTGAACTGGATTTAAGGGTAAACCACGTCCATAAAGCACCGTACACATGTGGGTGACCCTCCTATCCAGTTCAACCTAGCTCCGTATCTTGTCCGCAGTTAGTCGATTGCTACCAGGTGTTTCTTGTAGGAAAAAATTGCCTGCTTGAACATTGCCTAGCTTCTATTACAGTCAAACGTAGCCTGGTAATCGCTTCAACTTTCGTTCCCGAAAATGTAATGGCATTTCCTCATAGGACTATTCACTGCTGATCAGATATCCTTCACGCTTTTCACATGAGAACTTTCAATTCGTAATGTTAAGAGCGCTTTCGAGAATGAAGGAAGCGAACAATTTTTTAAGCGGACCATATCTCAGTATTATTTTTGTCGCGCTAATTTGTCGCACGCCACGAAAAAATTGTGGTGTACTTCGCTGAGCAGTGCGGAAGGCGTTTTCCACTTTTCCCAAGGCTGATTTCTGAATTTGATGTCATACTTGCGAATCCGGCAATTCGCTAGCGAATCGCTGGATACAAGCGTTGCACCAGCGAATCAGCTGTGTGCCAGCGGGTCGGAATATGTACCAGCGACTCGACTCTGTTGGAAAGTGGTGGGATCCCAACTTTCAATAGGAAAGTCCACTTCGAAAGAACAAATGTTTGAGATGGCAGAACTTCCTTTGAACTGAGTCCGCTCACTTTCTCAACGAGAGTTTTGGGTTGCTGGTACATTCCTTCGACACGCTAGGCGAATCTTGTAATTACGCAAACTCTAACATCGGCCTCCCATAGAGATGTCTTATTTCTTCATCGCCAGATAGACCATTCTATAATCGCCTGCCAGCTAGAGTAAATAGAGACAAAATTAGGATCAATGCATGTAATTCGACAATTAACTTGAGCGCTAAAAACTCGCTTTGCTTCCAAAATCTAATGCGTGTGGAGTGCAGACCAGACACCCTAAGTGACGACGCCCTCTTCAAATTGTGAATGATTCCTGCCAATGAAACCATTAGCCGTTTGCAAATGTATTATCACCCCCTCTGCCCCCCTGTTGTTCCTGTTAATCACGATAAGATTTACTTGGAGGCCGTCGTCACTATGTGCGTGTAGTCTGCATCTGTCCCGGCATCTGGTTTTCGAAGCAGAGGCACCATTGCGGACAGTATGGTCTTATTGTTGAAAGAAACTAACGTTTCTCTCACGATCGACCCTCAATTCGAAAACACCGCAATTCCTCACAGATCTATTCAACTGAAATTAAATGCATATGAGAATGAAGAAAGCGCCATTTCTTGACATGTCATCTATTTACCTCACAAAGTTGTCCAGCGTTTTGCCAGTGATGGTTTCTCGCCAGCTGGAGGGCGTCAGCATTGGCCACAATCACCATTACCCTGAGTAGATAGGTTGTAATTAGGTAGGAAAAGTCGCGCGTAAAGCGCACGCGCGATCACTTGTCCCACTGCTGTTTCACGATTCCCAGCGTGACTCACTACGTGCGTCGTAGCGAAGTCTCGCGTCGCTGGTGCGATGGCGCTAACTTGGGTGTTACTTTCTCAAGTAAGGGATTGGCGAAGCCGCAAACAGTCGCCTATCGTGCACGGCAATCATGTGCAGAGCCTCGGCTAATACTCCAAACGCAGAGAACACGTATGCGATGGCTGTGAATTTTGCCATCGTCGCGGGCATAGTGACTCGTACTGCCTATTAAGAAAGGATGCCCGCCTTCCACCGGCGCCTCATGATTCACCTGAGGAATTGCTTATTTTTCGGTCTCGTTCATAAAGGGGGGCGGAGGGGGAAGGTGGGTGCATGTGGTGCGACAGATCATATCGCAAGATGTAATCCAGTTTCTCGCAGGGGAGCAAGCTACGGGGTGGTTGTGAGAGTAGACGCGAAATGCCAGGTTACTCCACGATACTTCCCACCTCCTTGCAAAACAACTTGGCAACTGTAGCGACAGCACATCTCCGTTGCTCACCATGGTATCTTCCACCTTAATGGATGAGACTCTTTTTTACTTATATTATTAGGCATTATTAGGTCACTGTCGCTTCTCGCTACTACTCGTTCACAGTGAAGAGAATCCCTCCATACGATCCCCTTCAACTGTCGATGGTGTTGGTAGCGCCATTGACCTGCCACTATTTGATTAGTTTCAATTCTCTCAATTCGCCATAAACTCCTGTCAATGTCAATGCCTGTCCATATAACATATTTCTTCCACCGTGCGACTTTTCGGGCAGGAAGTGGTGTAGTGGCAAGTGGCACGCTTACCACGCGAGCGGTCCGGGGATCAAATCCTGGGTCGTGAGTCGCCCGGGCCAACCAAGCCTTCCATCCCTTGGGGTCGGTTAATTGGTACCAGACTTGTCTGGGAGGATAAAACACTGACTTATACACCGAGCACGCAGACTTCCTCCATTTATACATTTGGCCCCCGCCAGCAAATCGCATTCAAACGCCACTACGAATGTACAAATGGAAGTAGAATGCGTGCCGCATCCCAAAAAGGGATTGATCAACGGCAAATGCTTCGCCCTCATCCTTGTTACCCAACTTCACTCTAAACCACTAGATACGACCATCCCTACAAAAATGGCCTCCTTAAAAGAACATCACGACGACGCCCCTTTCCACTTTCGGTGCGACTATGTGGGCGCCGCCGCCTAACCTCACATCCGCGGATTCTGCACTATAAATGACCAAAAACAAAGATTGTCTAAAAATATAACAGTAAGCTTCGATCAAAACGAATAGTGGTAACGAACATTGAGCATCTATTCACCTTCCCGTAAAGGAAAGCGATTAGAAGACAGCCCATATGGACTGCCATCGTCCCAGGAACACATGCTGTTGGCAGCCCATATGGGCGGCCATCGGCGTGAATGTGTTAAAGTACTCTGCACGACGAATGGTTGACCTGGCTGTGGCTGAACGGAAATCTGGGATGCGATTTTCTTGTAACAAATGCCGTCTACCTTAGCAGACCTCTACTCCTCCCCCCTTATTCTGCGGAAAATTAATAGGTCCGCGTGAGCGTAGAGGGCAAACTTTAGACCGCGGGAGTCAACCTAGTGACAATATTTGTAAAAACTGAGGTTAAGCCAATTGGGTGTAGCAAAAATCTGATCATCGAAGCACTTCTTGACGCTTCTCCTCCAAGAAGAATTTATAATCAAAAGTCTTGAACGTACTGATCAGACGGCCGTGAGATGGCTCGGAAGAAGTAACCCAGTCGTTTCTTGTACTCTTCAGGCGTTTCACTTTTTGGGAGTTCCGAAAGATGAGGTTTATATCCTGATTGAATAGGGTAGCCGAGTTCTTTGCACTGAAAAACGCTCAATCGAAGCTTCTTCTGTAGTCTCATAGCGCTGCAACATATTATCGGGAGCCGCTGAAGGATTCCAAAATATGTATAATATTACTGACAAACCTGTTCAGGAGTTAGCCAGTTTTGTTGAGCTGATGGCGGGGTCAGTTGTACCCAGTCAGCAAGAGCAGGTTCCAGGCAGATACTAGTAGCACCACATCCGTAGGCTCGTGCAATAGCAGCGGAGGTTTGCACACATCTCAGCTCAGGTGAGGAGAAAATCTGAAAACAGTGATGTTCGAATGAAGCCCAGTTTTGTGAAGTGTTTCATCTGGTTGGAAATCCGCGCTTTAGAAAAAGTACTCACATATTTTGGAGAGTAGCCGGCTAGTTTTAAAGCATGACCGATGAATTCAGCCGTAAGGTTACCATGTTCAGTAAGGTTGGCTTGGATCATAATTTGTAATCAGTCCATAGGTGTCCTAGACCAAGTACATATATTACAGAAACAAAAACAGTACATCACATGTTTGAAAATACCTACTTGGGAAGGGTTGCTGGCAGGTTGAGATCATATGGATGATATTTACCATTTCTGGCACGAGAGCCTAACCCACTGCGGGAACATTTCGTTGGCAGTCTCTCCATGAGATACTGAAATTATTGTCGGATACTTCAGAATCGTACACCAATAAATACCAGAGCTCTGATATTCAGAAATTATGATATTGTTGTCATAAACAAATCCTCGACGGTAAAAACTGAACTTCACATTCTGCGAGTTACTAAGGTATGGCTTGTAGAGCCGGAAACTGAAAATACAAGGTGGTGGGCAACCGAATTACAGTATGTCATGGGCAGTCGAAATGCATGTTTTTATAATCGATGTTATATGTTAAAGGCAAGATTCGGGATAAAATAGGTGTCTAAAAGCGTTCAGTCATGATACTAGAGGTGGGAGGTGGTCTATAAAAGAGAAGGAAAGCAAACGAAATCACAGATTACGCCCCGTACAGAAACCTCCCCTATTTCAGCAACATTCCACCTTGGGATAGAGAAAAGGCGCGTTGGACGAGTTTCGCGAGCCTGACTCTAGTTGCTCCAGTGCCATTGACACAGGGTCGCGGTGGGACCGCTGCCTCAAATGCGCCCCGCGCTTTTCAAGCAGCGCCACGTGGCAACGGACAGCGGAGGGTGGGGCTTGCGGACGAAAGGTGTGAGTTGCAGGTCGGACGAGCTGCTTGTGCCTTTGTCGCGCACTTTCAAGCGGCAAAAGGGGTGCGACAACAACACTTGTCCGCCTGCCTACTACCACCCGGGATGGAAGAGGCAAGCGCGCCTGCTTAAATATTGTTATAAGCAGGATTTTGACATCAGGCAAGTCTTCCAAGACAGGGCCTATACAAACGCAGAAAGTTCAACTCCTAACTGCCTATCCGGCATGAGCTCGTCGTTCACGCCGCAGTGAATGCTGGCTGGAATATCTCGCTCCTTTGTCGGTGCTCTGCTGCATCACGAAATTGTGCAAACATACTCGGTCTTTGTTCATAGACCTCAATATAAGCTGTCTTGAAGTTTCCGACTGTCTGTTTTTAGATGTACATGTTTCATGTGAGGTGCCCCAAGAGCGCCCTGCAAAGACGATCGGCGCGAATAGACTGCGGGTAGACGTCGTAAGCTATCGGTATCACACTGTGTAACTTGACTCCGTAATTCGTACAGTATGCGCTGCGACTTGCCCTGTGCGCGTCAGGCTTCTCTTCCTTCGCGCGCGATGGCCTCTTGGCGGATACCGTTTCCATCGTCATAGCCATCACGAGCTTGATATCGTCAATATAACCTGCGAGCCACCTCGAACAAATCGATAAAACTATCGCCTGATACACCGCATCATTATACTCGACAAACCAGAATACACATGTTTAGCCGTTTTATGACAGAAGGATCGAAAGATTTGAGTGATAACCACTTACCAAGAATATGTGTTGCCCTGCCTGGTGGCGGTTCCGGAACTGAGTAGTAGTCTTCTGAAAATATACGAGTGCATAAAACAAAAGTTGTGTATCCTCTAATTATATCCAATTTTTTCATAATAGTTTGTGAACCAAGAAAGATCAGCGAACAGCACCGCATCCCATGGAAATCATGCTGATCTCGTACCTTGTTGCTCCCTTCGTGGAGTCGGTTTTCGGAAGTCCCTTTCATCCAGTCGCTCTGAATAGAGGGTTGTTTACAATGTTTTGCAGTTGCTCACATGCCTGCTGCCGTGTTAATGAAAAAAGTTCAGCGGATGTAGGTTCGATACAAAACCAGACAGTCTCGCCTAATGCACCTTCAGCGTGCATTCTGCCGTTATTGGTAGACATTAAAATTGAGCTCATTGCAGGTTGAATATTAACCATGTATACAGGGGTGGCCAAAAAAAGAGACACTTTGCCCATGGCGCACATCATCAAACTTTTCGTCGCACAGGGTGCCGCTGTTGATGAAAGTTTTACGGCAAAATATTCCTTAGATGTCCTCCCATAAGCAGAAGCAGGCCCTCCTTCACTGCCCTCACCGTCCTCAAAATATGACGTCATCTTCCATCACCGTTGAGCTCAAGAAGGCCTACCGTAATCGTTCCAGCCTGAAGCTGCTACGAAATTTCTTTAATCGGTTCACTGATGGATTGCTTCCTAGGGAAGTAGCTCTGAATGTGCAAGACCCCTTCCGACCAGCGTTTCAGATAACGTCGTAATGGTCCATGATCCGTCGAGGACCAGTTGAGCTCGAACCGTGCACAAGGTTCCCATGGCAAATTCTTGTGATGTCCTTGGTGCAGAAAGCTATTATGTTTATTGATAGATTGGGATGTGCTCTTTAATATTAAGTTGGGAGCAGTCGATTTGAGCCTAGCAAAGTGTGATTAGTGCTGTTTGAAAAAAGGAGTTAAGTGTCTCTTTTCTGGCCACGCCTGTAGAATTCCATCCGAAAGTTCGAGGTTCTAATTTGGGCAGTCGTGACGAATGGTCAGGTTCAGTTAATTCAGCTCAAAGCTTAGAAATGCAGCGAATTGCTAGGTAATCACGGAGTACCATCGAAGCGAACGGTCGCGACCACGCGCCAGTGGTTTTAACGGTGCACCAGCGCCTCGACAGTGTGGGAAAGCTGCGCGAATTCCTCGTTCCGCGCATTTCGGTCTCGTCACCTTATCTGGCTCGCGAGATTCAATGAACACACGAAGGAGGCTCAAAGGACTTCTGCAAGCTGTCAATCGCTGGCCCATCGCTTGTACTCTAATTCGCCAGCGATGCGCTGGATTCGCAAAGTCTGACATCGGCCTGATTGAGGTCCGGTAGAGGAGGCGGGATAAGCAGTGCTTTGGAGTAATCGACGAAATGCCTGAAATGTTTTCGAAAATTTTAGAACGGACTTCCAGTACTTCCTGGTATTCCAAGTTCAGTTCAGAGCTTCAATAAGCATTTCTCAATGTTTGATCGACGTGAAAACTTTTTGAAGGATTCCATGCAATTTGAAATTCCTTTCAATTTTTACAGAAAGTCTGTGAACAAAAATCACAAGAACTGATCTGATTGAAATTGGGCTGATTTCTCACCTTTCTCCTTTCGTGGTTTCCGGAAGTCCCTTTCGTCAAGTCGTCCTAAACAACGGATGTTTCGGAATTACTCATATATTAGGTTGTCGGAAAAGTCTTTGCGCATTTGGCAACTTTTTTCGAAAATTGTTTTTCTTCTTTAGTGCAGCCAACAATTGTTGAATACATACACCACCATAATCGTCGAAACATTGCTCTTCAGCAGGCAACTTCAGGTTGCCGGCCGTTCAGAAATCCCGAGTCTTTGGGGCGAAAAGCTCAAAGAGGTTGACTCCGAGTAGGTCCGGATCATCGAACTGCCCCTATTTCAGTACCTTCGACGGCAACAGAGGCGTATGGTAGCTGTCTCTACCAGGTTTGCTGAACACACTAAGTGGGTCAGATCATCCCATAACGAGCTTGGAGACTTTTCCTGGACCTTCTTCGTAATTCGTGGGCGAGCGTTGCCGACATAAAGTAAAGTTTCTCAGATTTTCGGGCACCATGCCGGGAACCGATCCACTTGCCAACATTATTGTTCACCAATAGCAGTGGACTTCGTTGGCAGCAGCTCTCCGTGAGCGAAACATTTGCAGCCTCATGAGCTTTCAATGTTGCCTCCCAGGTTGCAGTTCTCGAATCGGCGTTGCAATCCTTTGTTCTACGCATCCGAGCCAGTCGTGCTTTCGCGTGCGGTTTATCTGAGGATCCCACTTCTTGACACCACCAACAAAGTTGGCGGATCAAGCGATAGACGGGCGGCAAATCAAAATGTCCTTGCAAAATTTTATGGTCTCAATAGCCTGTGGTCAGTCAGATCACAAAATATCCTTTCGCCATAATTTCACTTCTTTTAGAGGCGATATTGAGGAACGGCCATTGTGGTCTGGTAGCACTGAAAGAGCTCCGCCAATTACCGTGCATTGCACTAAGCACTCTCTCCAATCGAATTCAGAATACACTCGTCAATGAGGATGGCAGGCCGACCAGATTTGTGGTTTTTTCTCAAGTATCTGGAACTCGGCAACCAAATAATTGGCATATTGTGAAAGATAGTTCGGAGGTCCATCACAACACGTAGAACTCCCACTGCTTCGCTTCAATCGACGCATTTTGTGGGCTTATAAAGGCAGGAGCAGTCGAACATACCTTCAGTGAAAGGCGATTTTAAGCTTCAAACGCTGCGAAATGCTGTGGAGAGAGCATTAACCACCGCTCACATGCGTTTAACAGTGAATGTTTCAAAACGATCCCAAAAGATTTTGCAAGGTGAACAAGAAAATGCGCAAGAACTTTTCCGACAACCTAATACAAATCTAAATATAGTAGCTTCAAGCAGAAGGTGAGCGGGGGTATAAGTGGCCCAACGTGGTAGCTGATGTTCCTCCTCCCCTACACCCACTATATGCCCTATAGTCTCTTTTTACTACCAACAATTAGCAAGATCAAATTGTCAAGGAGTGAGGATTGACCTTTAAAGGCAAATGGTACGGTGAAGTGAACGCCCAGTTGTTATGCTGCAGCAGAGGAAAAAAAGCTAAGGGAACAGTTCCTTATCTGCAAATGGGAACCTCGGTTTCCCTGTTGATTTCCACTCAAGGTGAGTCTCAACGGTGCCGACGACATCAACGTGGAGGCTTTGGTCTGCCTCTCCACCAAAACGACTAGAATCCAATGACGAGCGACTAGCAGATAGGCTTGACAATCTGACAATGAGCATAGAGAATAGGCCTTTTATTTGAGAGTGAGCCCTCGCTAGGGCGCTATAAGACTGATGTCAGACTGCGAATCTAGCGATTCGCTAGCGAGTCGCGAAGTACGAGCGTTGCACCAGCGGATCGAACGATGTACCAGCGACTCGACACTGTTTGAAAGTGACGGGATTCTCTCTCTCTCTCGTTTGCCCTTTGACTCTCGCCAGTTTCCCGGGCCCACGTGGTCATGAGAGCGAGAGTAAAGAGGCCAGGAAAGTGACGAGAGTCAACGTACAAAGGAGAGGGAGTTCCGCCACTTCCCAACAGCGTCGAGTCGTCGATATCGTTCACATCGTTCGAACCACTTTGCAACACTCGTACCCCGTGATTCGGTAGCGAATCGCTGACTCGCTGTCTGATACCTGCCTAAGAGCCTGATGCCATTGTCGCGGTTTTCGGGCGGTGTCAATGACGCACTGGCGACGTTTGAAACAGCTCTATTCTACCTACCAAAATTAATTCGTGTTCCTAACCTGGACCTTGCCTCCAAATGTTCCTTCGAAAATAATGCACGAAAAAACCTTTCGGCCATGCTATCTTGCATCGTACGCCCACGCTCATGGAGTCAACGAGGCAAAGCCCTGAATGCTTATGAAGACAGCGTGAACAACGCGCCGATTTTTTTTGACCTCCAGCCTCATAGGTTTACCAGGTCCTTTTAGGCTTGAAAGTATCTAACGGCGCAAAAGTGTGAACTCATTCAGAAAACGAAAAATTGATTTCTTTGCAAAGTATTGCGTATCTTTTCCTATTTCCCCTTGCCTTTGATGAGTACAATACTATGGAGAAATAAATCATTTGTAGAAATTGAAACACATAAATAACAGATGTCACATCTTACTTTTCGGCTGTCCTCCTTCGGAGTTCGCGTGTCATCTGAAACCAGAAAATAGCACCTTATAGACCAGACACAGGGCTTTTCTCTCACTCACCAGAAACACTAGATGAAGTCCTACGGTTTTTGCGATGATCTCTGTGATGGCCTGAAAAAGTGATTGACAACATTATAGAACCAAAAAGCAGTAAGTTAACAGTAAGGCCTTAAAGGTCTAAGCATACCTCCATGTCTACCTCTATGTTTACGTGAATGAGGAGGTGCCGCAGCCGATTCTGGAGGTTCTCCTTCGTTCCTCAATTCGGGATTCACGTAAACAGAAGCTGCAACATTTTCGATATCATATAACGAATGCTATACGAACAAAATGCAATATTGAGATCAATCCCACCACAATGCGGAATTTTCTGCTTCCCCTGCACTCAGGCCAAACCATGTTTCCCCATTTCTGGCGTTTATTGATTACACTGAACGCTCTTTCTATGTACGTGCCACGGCCTTCGCACAAATTCCAGAAGTCAGCACACCATCTCACGAAGTAGCTAAGTGAGCTATACTCCAAAATTTATCAATCACCTATTTACATGTTATTTTCGGTATTTCGACGTGTGTGGATCTACGCTCATACGAAATGTCCCTGCTTGTGACTAGAAGGATTCCTCTATTCCCCCTCGCAAAATTAGTTCGTTTGTATGTATATGTGCTCGTGTAATTTCTCATATTTGAGAAGGCAGCAAGCCTATGGGTATGAAATGGCAACCGCCACACTCAGATTTCGCGTGGATAAGCTTTTCCAGTATACTTTGCTGATTTCCAGCGTTTTTTGGAAACAGCTCATTTGCGCGACATCTATCAAGTGTAGCGACCGCCACATCAGTTAAAGCAATAGTCCCAGCAGGGTGAGCGTGGTCGGAAACGACTTCAATCCCCTAGGCATTCCGACCACGCCCTTCAGCTCCCGCGCCTAGCAGCCTTTCAAGGTTAGCTTTTTGTTCAATGGTCTGCACTTCTTCCCATTCTGTTGACTAGAGGCTTGAAACACTCGAAGTGGACAATCCGACAGGGATTGCAGCCCGTTTCGCCACGCCCACCCTATACTGGACTTGGTGCTTCAACGTGTAGCCTTACTCAGGCTAAGAATTGACTCACTATGTTACTACTACTATTTACAAAGGCAAGAGCATTTGAGTGCAGGCCGCACGCACACATCCGTTATGAACGGCCTCCATAACATAACTTTTTTCTTGATTCCGCACTTGATAGAAGTTGCGTGGATAAATGCTTCTGGCCTGCCTTGCAGACTTCCATCAAGGTACGTTGGCAGGGCTTATCCCGGTGACTCTATCTAGTTCGGCGAAAGGACGACCACATCAATTCCGTAGATCCCGCCTAATACAACAGTCAGATATGAAGTATACGTTGCCCCCCACACGCAGACGTAGCGAAATTGTAGAAATTGACGTTGGCATGAGTGGCATCGAATCGCACACCTCGTGGCAACACAAAGCGTACTATGCATGTCTCTTTGTCCGTCCACTGAAGAAGTGACGAGGAAACTTATGGATTAAATAAACCGCTAACAAATCATGGAGCTCGCAGGACGTGCGCTAGTAACACCTTAACGGCTATGTAGACACCTACAGAGCCCAGTTTTCCGGTCATCTCTCACATATGCGGCGGTTGCACGCAGGATGAAGGAATTGAGGCAGAGAGGAGAAAACAAAGCCGCTCATAAGGCTCCTGATAACAATTGCAAACTTGGCAATAAATATGTTGCGATCTATGAACTGTCAAAAAACCCTTGCGCATCCTCATTGAGGTGCTGCTGCACAATGAAGTGAAGTAAGGCAGAACGCGTAAGGAAGGGAATTCCGGCGGTTGCTGGAGGACCAATCTGGTGATAGAAAAACCCAATGCTAAGAGGAATGGGAAACCATGTCACCGCGCCAGTTGTGGAGATTGTGACATCCTTTGGTTTGGTGACATCCGCAAGGTCTGGGGTGGGGGGGGGAAGTGGGGTGTCTGCTCGAATTGCGCGAAAGAATAGATGAGAAAAGGACTGTTGGCAAAATTCAGATTCAGTACAATGTCAGCGTTGAGGCACCAACTTAGCGTTAAGTCATGGTCTTGACCCCCCCCCCTCTATTATCTTACCAGGGAAGGCATTTAACTTCCCATGGAACTTTGAATTGAGACCCAGATATATCGATAGAGCTTTGATTACAAATATGGAAACTAAAACTGCAAAATGAACCTGCCAAGGAAGTTGTGAGCAGTCAAAGTTGGCTGGAAGTAAAGCGTTACGTATTAACCGTGCTAGCTCCGGGCTTTCAAAGTCGCCGTGGAGTAGTGGTAGTGCTCTCAAAATTTGCACTCAACGGGAAGAGAACTTATGACCTCCCGGGTGAAGAGCGAGGGCACCCACTACTCCGCGGCGACTCTGAAAGCCTGGGTCCAGCACGGTTCATATGCAACGCTTTACTTTAGCCAACTTTGACTGCTCACAACTTCCTTGGCAGGTTCATTTTGCAGTTTTAGTTTCCATATTTGTAATCAGCGTTTGAAGCTCTATCGATATATCTGGGTCTCAAGTTCAAATTCAAAGTTCCATGAGGAGTCGAATGCCTTCCCTGGTTAGTACATCGGTTTCGTCTGCCTGTTTGTGTATTTGTCTGTTTGCGGCTCTATTTGCCTATCTTCTGTGTTACCCGAAGGTTCACCTGAAAGCCATGTCAAGCTAGGGAACGGTAGGCCTAGACCAAGGAGAATAAAGTGTAAACAAACCAAGCGCGGCTCGAAATAAAAAACGCATATAAACCAAGTGGATGGAGGTGTTCAAGGTTGCGAGGTTAACTCCCTCTCATGCAGCGCGGCCCCCAACTTCAACCTCCACGACCCCCTCTGAGAATCATCAAATTAAACCACCTAAATCATCAACCAGATCACATGTGGAATCCGAAAAATCCTCCCCGTTAAAGTAAAAATGAGCATACCGACGTCGTAGCTGGGCGATTTCTTCTGTGTACTCGAAGAATGGTAAGGGCATTGGCATCTCCGCACTGAAACGATGATGGAATAACGATGACGAAAGGTTTAATCTTTCCTAGCGCTTCGAAACTACTACTTTCCTTCTCTCCTAACATAATAATACTTCAGTCATACTGCACGTTTGATTCTTTTTACCATCATTTGGTTCGATGTCAGCTCTTTACTACTATATATTCGTCCCTCTGATCAGTCCTTTTTCATACGCACTCTTTTGCGTGTGCTGTAAATCTTAACTTTGATCTCCTATTGCGTAGAACATTGATGACTTGGATCCTTTGTACCTCTAAGCCTGCCTCGCCGGATCACTTTCTCTCTAACTACCTCTGGCAAGAAAGGTTTTGAGAGGAGGATGAGGTCAAGAAGGCGCCTAATGACTCGTTTAAGACGTCGACAACGCGCGTTTTGGGATTTTTCGCCGAGTGGGCCAGAGCGATTTCGCCGCCTCACTTGAAATCTGGGATTTCAGCTGTTAATAGGTAACACTTGGATGCGGAGTGCAACAATATTTAATAATATGTGGCTATGATATGTGCTCAAGTTTGTGAGAGCTGCAGCGTTGGAAATCGATCGACCAGTGACTTTGTTATGGTTGTTAGGCTATGAAAAGCAAGTTTAGTTGCTTTTGACTGCAGGGGACCTGAAAAGTTTTTTTTTTGCGGTACCTCCAATAGAAAAATATATCCTGCCGTACGTGTCGGTCTGTATTTTTTGTATACATGCTTATAGAATAAAGAAACAGGATTGGACCTATTTCATTGTCAGTTGGACAGAACGTCGGAACCTTGTTAATGAGCAAATCTGGCTAGGGGGTGGACGGCGCATGTATTCATTAGCTTCGTAGAATAGATACAAAGGTAGAAAATAACAGTAGCGAATGTTGGAAGAAGTGTAGGGATACAAATAGGTGTGAAGAGCATGGCGACCGCGCTGGTGGTGGCACCGGCGTCGTCAACACATGACGACAACGCGAGTTTTGGTTTTTTTGGCCACGTGGGACCGCGGCGATTTTGCGGGCGCGCTCGCCTCAGGTCGTTCAAGCAGATTTTGAGTGATAAATACACAACTAATGATAATTCAAAACCAAATCAGTAAATTGTAATGAGCGCAACCTAACCAGGGGTAGCAGTAGTGGAATTTCGATCGAAAACATGAAGAACAAATGAAAAGGCGAAAATGGTCAGAACTAGCTGCAATGGATTCTCGAAAGCAATTTTTACGGCGATATTCCAATCCACACATATATTGTCATCCCTAAGGTTCCTTATCTACTTCTACTACTATTTAAATCTTCACATTAATAAAAAGAAAAAGTAAACGAAAAATTTATTGAAATGAAGATTTCGTATGGTTCAGAAATCCTCTAAATTAAAGTATACGTGACCATTTAAAGGCCACTATGTTTGTAGCTACGTCAAGGTCTCTTCCATGGAATGAATACAAGAAACTTCAAAAGAATCAGGCGTGCGCGAAAAAAATGAGTGTAATGGGTGCGGGGGATATATATCCCGCACGGTCCGACATGGCCTGCAATGCGCGGGATATATATCCCCCGCGTTGTCGTCAATGTGTTAAAAAAGTTCGCGATTGAAGTTATGGTTATTTTGTTCAAACATTAGGCAAGGGGTGCAATGAGAACATTAGTGAGGAGAAAAAGCAAAAAGCACCATAGAAAACACTAAATTTCCCTTAGGAGGCCGGCCGTAGTACGACGGAGAGACACAGCGCTGCGAGGAGAGGGAGAACGCGAGATAGTACGTCATACGCGAGGAGGGACGGCAGACCACGTATGCCGTGGTGGATTACGCTGGCAGCGCGGCGGGCAAGGCCTTAGCGCCATTGCCGCGCACTTTTGGGTCGCGATAGTGTCGCGCCCTCAGTGCTTGGGGAGCCCACTATCGCACCCTGGGAAGAACTTCTGCTGGTTGCCTAATCCTGACTCGTGGCTTTAAGGCAGCGATTACGATAAAGAGGAGCGCATCGGGGAAGCATATGCACCACACGAATCAGTTACTTGGCTGCCAGGGAAGCGAGGTGTGGCGCTTTCACGACGAAAGGTGCGCTGGTTGCTGAGCAGGACTTCGAAAGCACTCCGCCCCCAAAAGCGATCCGCCCACTAGTTTACTTGGTGATTTGGACGAGCTGCGTTGCCAGCGTGATTTGGCATGGTGCACAAACGCGATTGCGATGAACTCGTTCATACGTCCGCTTTCTGAGCTGTTACCTGTTCATGAGTGAAAACCAACGGCCAAAAAAGGGGTCCCGTTTTGCGTTTTCTTGACGGATTTCTCCGCTTTTTTCGCCACTGGCGTACCATTGAGCACCACCACGTCCCTTCAAACCCTTCCTGAACCTAATCGCTGCCTCTTAAGTGCAAAGGCGCCCCGAGCCGTTGTAAATGTGTTGAAGGAGGATGTCACGATAAGTGCGATAGAAAAGTCGACCCCCACTGAAGTGAGTAGAGACATGCAGCGCCGCCTACCGTGGTTCGAGTAGCCCCCTCCACGGTTCTTTGCTCTTCATGTCAAATCGGCATTTCTTGTTAAGGGCATTTCTTTTTATCCCTCAGTCCTTCTAGGTTATATAGGTTCTCAATGAAAGGATGATATTTTTGCACGACACACTATCGGGATAAGCACGTGCAAACTGGCACGAATTGATCACTGGCTCGTCTAGAGCGGAAATCAAGAGAAAAAAGGATCCCATTTCTTGAATTTTCGTTCTTCCTAAGGTTTTACTCGATCAATGCATCCTATATCAGTTCTACTTTCAGCCCTTTTTCGAACCATCCGCCTTCACCTTGCTAATTCGCATCAATCGGCGAGTGGCGAATCAACAGGATTAACGAGCGTTGGTCCGCGTGGCACACGATAATGGTGCATAACTCTGATCTCCATGTCAATCTAGTTTGAATATTTACAAAAGGGTTTAGCAGGTGATTAATGTCCAACCTAACCTGATTCTACGAATTTCTAATATGTCTCACTCATAATGAGCTCAATTTCTTACTACTTACTTGGCGTTGGCGTTCGTGCCCCGCTTGTTCCTCGACTTGGTGGACGATCTGCAATGAATTATCAATAAGATTTTCTGGTTTCGTATTTTCAAACTGTATGGTAGAGTATAGAGAGCGAACAGGTAGTGTAGTTGAAGTGAATCTACCTGGCGTAGGCGTTGGTCTGGTACTGGATGGTCTGTCTTGCGGAGGTCGCTGAGGAGTTTGCTCTGTGCTGCTTGATCTCCTTGGTGGCGGAGGAGTTGTCCTCTGCTCTCTTCTCGGTGGTGGAGGACTTGTGCTTTGCTCTCTTCTCGGTGGTGGAGGAGTCGGCGTGCATGATCTTCTTTCTTGTCGAGGAGTTGGCCATGGGTTAGTTCTCCTCGCTTGTGGAGTGTATGGTTGGTTGGATAATTGATTTGCTGGACATTTACTCGGATTTTTCCCTCCTCCGGAACGGACTGCAACAAAATCTTTTCTTAGCGTGTGTGTAATTTCAAAAGCTGATATGGCTTCCCCTTCCTCGTTTTCACAATTTCAAAATCGGAAGATTCCTGTGGATGTCCATTTCAGTAATTGAATCTACACTATACTACAGCAGCCGAAAGAGAGCGTGCGTATCATTATTGAAAAGTCTCATGATTTGCACTTCGAGGAATGTGGCATGTGTGCAGCTAGGAACTAAATTGTTGTTAGAAGTCATTTCATCGATACCAAATACGTTTTAATTAACTAACTTGGACAGTCAGATGAAATAACGCTGAGCTAAGCTGAGAAAAGCAATGACGCTATTGCGATTGTTTAGACCACCTACACTCCTACCTTTCCTTCTTGCCCACAAAATCGCACAAAAGAATCGTTCACGAAGGTCCACGATTCTATCCAATCTGCAGATTACTGGCCCGTGACCTATCGCCCACGATAGGGATAAAAAATACAAACCCCAGCGTTGGTTTTGGTAAAAAACAGCTCGAAAAACCGGAAGGACTGTTCAAACTCCTGCCGAACATCTGTCACAAATGTTGGCGCCAAAATTACATATACCATTAGTTCTCGGGAGGCCTTGACTATAAACACTTTTTGGCCTTTTCCACCTATGACGATATCATTTCTTGTTCTGCGTAATCTTACTCTATTTCAGTCCGTGCTTTGTCTCACCACCAACGCTTTCAACACCGATTCCTCACTGCGTTCCCTGATGCCATGGCCTCTCGAGGCCTTAACTCGCATCTACTCCGTCCACCTGCTCAGGACCGTTCCCAGAGTGCGGTTTCGTCGGTTTGCTTCTCTTCAAAAACTGGATTACTGCGTGGAATTTTGTACATTGTCTCTAGTGATCACAATTGACATAGTCATTCCAGCAAGGCATGCATACCGTGAACGATTCCTTCGGAGGCTTCGGACACGAAGGTTGGGGGGCGCAGGCGACAGATACAAAATCTATGAGAGGCGGCCCAACACACTTCTTCAGCGCGCTAAGAGGAGGGGATGAAGCGTTTTCCACCAATGGTGTCTACGGACTGCCTTCGCTTTTAAATGGTCTCCTATCTGCTGGCAAACTCACAATTCAACCCATACCAGCTCTCTGTGTGCTCGAGGCCACTGTACCCTGCGCCGATTCTCCGAAGACACCGTGTCTTCTTCAGCAGTGAACAATAACTTGCAAACAAGTTTACCGGCACGCCTATGCGAACTCTTTTCGGGTTCGGTTTCTTGAGAATGAAAATGTTCACATTGTCTTGCCGCAGTCGAACTAAGGCATACCAGAATCTGCAAACTTCTCACAAAAATACGTTCGCCGCGCCTGGTGGTATCAGAAAGTGAGCTCGCCCAAACACGTTTTGGTCTTCTTCACCTGGCAGTGACGCAGGAGCTCATCTTATTAGCTGTTCGAAAGTAAATGCGGTTTCATGATCGGCCATGTCACACATGACAATATTTCGTGAAATCCAATTCAGACCCCTCGAGATCCTTTATATCAGTTTGGCAAATCTAATCCCATCTTCTGTCCCTTTAGTGTATTTGAATTCAAATTGAACTGAAGGTGTCAAGAATAGTTGTTTTCGGCCAAATTCCACATCCGACGTGGTGACAAACTCGGAAATAAGTGTCTCCAATAAACTTGTTGGGTAACACAGCACCGTTAGGATCACGCAAGCGCTACCTAAAGGCCCAAGCAACAGCACCTAATACCTCCACATCTTCGCCTCTTGCACAAAATTCCACCAAGAGGAGTGAACCCGCTTTTGATATCCCATTTGTCCTTTCTCGCCCCGGCCCTTCTGAAGTTCCGACAGCAGACGATGAAGATCCCACGTGCTCTCGCAGCACCTAGGACTCAGCATACAGTACCCTGAATTAACAATGTGGCTCCCTAATGATAATTGGGGAGTGAATAACGATTAACAGATGCTACGCAGGCTGCCTGAGCATCAGCAACATCGTCTTGCAAGGGTCCGTCACCCATAACTAAGCAAAAAACTACTAGTATTCGGAAAGCATTGTCATCTACGACGGGAAGTAGACTCTTCACGACTATTGGAAGCCGTCTCTCTTAAAGGCACAACCCAGGCAGAGGTCGTGTGAACGCTTCTCTTCGGTCGTAGTATAGACCCCTAGAGGACAATCACAAATGTGGCGTTCCGTGCACGGAAACCAACCGACAAGAGCGCTTGGGCCTTGCAAAGTAAGCTTTTTTCTCTTATCAGGCTGTTGTCTGGCGCTCTCTCATCTGTAGCGCTCTCTCGCCTCATACTCTCCTCTCCGCGCTTAGTCTCTCATTCCCTTAGCACAGCCGATTAGGAAGGTGAGTGAGCCCTTAACCTAGCGTTTTCGACGGATTCTTTTCCTTTTTTCTTTACTGCCGGCCCACTTCGCACCAATACATTCGCATTCGTGTGCAAGAGCCACACCAATGTGATCCTGGGGCATGCCTTTAAGTTGGACCAAATGCTTTTTCGAAAACCTATCCAAAGCAAAATTGTAGAAGGTCAAAGTTGAGCTGAACATTCGGCGGTCTCCCACGGACTGATGCACCACACCTCTTGGGAACCAGGTGAATTTGACACAACACCAATGTCTCTCCAGCATACCGATGAGATGCTCTAGAAACACCAACTTCGTCAACCGAGAGAAATGAAACAACCCTCCTTCATGGTGGCGCTCAGCCACATGTCCCATAAACGACCTCGCAAAGATTGGACAAACTGGCGTACGAAGCTTTGCTCAACACGTCGTACTCACTGGACCTCTCCCTCACCAATACCACTTTTTCCAACCATCTCGACAGCTTCTTGAGTAAGAAATGCTTCAGTGTTCCGGATGTGCAGAAGATGAGAAGAGGTCATTAAACACGTTGACGACATCGCGCGTTTTGGCATTTTTGGCCGCGTGGGACCAGAGCGGTTCTGCGAGCGCCGCCGCCTCACAACAAATCTGTGGATTTTGAGCTTTAAATACGCAATACTTCGATGCGACAAAATGTTTTCACTGATATTCGGTGTGTCAAACTTATTGGAAGGTACACATGTGAAAGTGCGGTCGAATGATGTGTTACAGCATTGAAAAGGCAAGTTTCACTTACTTTTGCTTTAGTGATTTCAAAATTATTTTGGACGTGGTTGTTTCGGTAAAAACACATATCTTGCCACACGAGTAGCTTTGTACTCACTTCTAATATTCTTTTTTATCTACATGTTCGTGTTAATGAAGAGAAAATGAGGAATGAACTGAACGGATATTTTCGTCCGGTCCGAAAAACCTCTGCCAAACTAAAGAATATTTGGTCATTCTTATAACAGCTCCGTCCGTGTTCTTGGTTATGTTGTGGTATGGCCTAAAAAATGAACACAAAAAACCTGGGAAGAAATGGCGCGTTCAAGAAAAAACTGAATGTAAAGGGTGTGGCAACTATAGTTGCCACAATGTCCATTGCGGCGTGCAAAACGCGGCAAACCTAGTTGCCGCGCTGTCGTCAAGGTGTTAAAGCATGGTGATGACGGGAGCTGGTGTAATCGCCGCCCATTCCCTCAACACAATATTCACCCTTATCAGCGTGCGTAGCTGATCATTTTAGCGATCCAAATTTGCTACCACTCTGATATCCTAATCTCCTACTATCCCAAGATCCTAATATCGTAATCTACTACTGTTCAGCAATTTCAATAATTACGTATCCGACTTTTCTGCGGAATATCCTAATCTATCCACTGCTTAACCACTGACTCCTGATTTTCCCTACCAATATTACATATTTCTCATTACCGCCTAATCTCTGATCCGAAGCATGCGAAGTATTGAAGGTTGTCTGACTGCTTTTCTTTCGCTGTCATTAATTTGATGGTCGGCCGTCTAATATCATCTTATTTGATTGGAAACACAAAACTTTTCGAATAACCAATTGCACGTTCTGTAGGGATGTCTCCGAGTTGAGAACTTTTTTGTAGCTTTTTCAAATGACTTTTGTAACTTAAAAGTCACCTGGAGTGGGTGCGGGACTCGCAGTACACTGTTGATTCGCTCTTGTAGGTGTTATTGTTGTGGTGTGAGTCGTGACTATTTTTGTTTCTTTCACGACCTCCTTTACTTCTTTGCGACTGTGCCCTTCAAAAGAGCTCTTCAACGAGTATTAGGAAAATCCCATTTCACTTCTATCCTTGCCCCTAGAAGGCACGAAGATACAGTCGATATCCGAAAGTTGGGGTGGGCTAGAAGTTGCGTGGATAGTATTGCCAGCATGCTTTGCTGATATCCAGCGATGTATGTGGGAAGCAGCTTATCCACATAGCTTCTATCAAGTGCACGTCACTTCCGGTGACACGCCTACCCCAACTCTCGGATATCAAGTATACATAAAAAAGCTCATAAGAAAGACGAGACCGTTTAGGTCCCTTTTGTCAGTGAGCTCGCTTTCTATGTGGACATGTGATATGATGCCATTTGTTACTGTTAACAAATGCTTTCGTCACAGTTCTTCTTCCAAAATTTTCACAAGGATGTTGGGTTATGTAAATACAAAACTCTTTGCCCCAGGTGGGTATCAAATCCACACCTACCGCAAGTGAGACTTAGATTCCCGCCTAGGGAGAAGAGTTCCGCCCATAACCCAGCATCCGTAGTTGTTTTCTGGAGCTGATAATGTCTAACTGTGCACCTGTTTTTGCCGTATTGATGTCTGCTTCATTACCATCCTGGCAGCAAGGTCGAGGACAGCGTTTCAAGCAACACGAATGAGGACAGGCTAAACAAGCAGAGAAATCGAATTGTACACAATTTCACAT